GAGGTCTCCCGGTACCCCCTCCCCCTCTTTTCCTCGCACCCTCTCCTCCTCCTGCTCCCGCTCCTCCGGTACCCCCGCCCCCCCCTGGTCCTGCCCCGTCTGGTGTGTCCCACGTTACCCCTCTACCCTCGGTCGCGCGTCAGGTAGCGTCTCCCTCCCCGCAGTCCTCCTCACAGTCCCCTCAGAAGCCTTCGGCACTTCCGCGACAGGTTACTGTGGACTCGGTTGGTGTTGGAGCTGGAGGTGCAGCCACTGGCGGTGCTCGGTCTGGGGGTACTCGGTCGCGGGGTGCTGGAGCTGGAGGTGCTGGCGCAGGTGGCGCTAGCTCTGGGGGTGCTGGAGCTGGAGGTGCTGGCGCAGGTGGCGCTAGCTCTGGGGGTGCTGGAGCTGGAGGTGCTGGCACTGGTGGTGCTAGTTCTGGGGGTGCAGGAGCTGGAGGTGCTGGCACTGGCGGTGCTAGTTCTGGGGGTGCTGGAGTTGGAGGTCCGGGCACTGGAGGTGCTGGTTCTGGGGGTGCTGAGTCTGAGGAGTCTGACCCTGGTTCTGCGAAGTCCACTCCGCCTCCCCACCGCCACGACACACGACTCCAGGCTGCCCGGCGGCGTGAGCGTGAGGAGCAGGAGCGGTTGGAGAGGGAGCGGCAGGAGCTGCGGGTGCTGGACCTTCTGGAGCAGCAGGGGCAGCAGCAGCAGCAGCAGCCGCAGCAGCAGCCGCAGCAGCAGCAGCCGCAGCCGCAGCCCCCGCCGCAGCAGCAGCAGCCGCAGCCGCCACCGCAGCTTCCTCTGGAGCGGCGGTTGTTCCCACCTGTGAGTGGCCTGCGGGCCCTTGGTTTTTCCTCCTCTCCTCCTGTCCGCTCCCAGTCTCCTCCTGTGTTTGTTCCTCCGTTGCCTCCTCCTGACGACCGTCCGGCGGTCTGGTCTTCTCCTCCTCCCCAGTCTCCTCCTCCTTCGGTCCGTCGCGACTTGGTCACTCGTTGTCCTCCGCGTGCTCGTCACTCGTCCCCTGTTACTGACCTCCACACTGCCCTCCTTTGTACGTCTCGTCGTCGTTCTCCTTCTCCTGTGTCCGTTCTCCCGTCTCCTCCTCCGTCCTCTCTCCCAGCCCTCCCCACTCCTATCACTGACTACTACCGCACTGTTCGTCCTGTTGCCGCACGTGTCCTCGCCACTCTTGTCACCGACTCTCGTTTCCCTCCGTCGTCGGTCTCTGCTCTTACTGCCGCTGTTGCTGAGTTTGCTGCCGCCAGCCGCCTTGACTACGCCACCCGTGTGGTGCCAGCTCCTCCCTACCGTCCTCTGTCCGTCGGGGGTGGGTTTGCCCTTGGCTGTGACGTCCTAGAGGACAGAGAGTCTGAGCTGGAGTACTGGGCAGCCGCTTCTCCCTCTGTGTGTGCCATGCTGCTCTCCCCTGAGGGAGACCCCGACGCCCTTGACATACCGACTCCTCGCACTTACCGCGAGGCAGTGTCAGGGGCAAGGGCCTCTCAGTGGAAAGCGGCTATGGACTCAGAGTTCGCGTCTTGGAGATCCACAGGCACCTACGTCGACGCAGTTCCCCCTCCCAGGGCGAACGTAGTCGATGGCATGTGGCTCTTCAAGGTGAAGCGGCCGCCTGGAGCACCGCCGATGTTCAAGGCACGCTACGTGGCTAGGGGCTTCAGTCAGCGTGAGGGAGTTGACTTCTTCCAGACCTTCGCCCCGACCCCGAAGATGACTACTCTTCGGGTGTTACTCCACATAGCAGCGCAGCGAGACTACGAGCTGCACTCCCTCGACTTCTCCACTGCGTTCCTCCAGGGTCGACTGCACGAGGAGATCTGGCTTCGCCGTCCTCCTGGCTTCACTGACACCTTCCCACCTGGGACCCAGTGGAGCCTGAGGCGACCAGTCTACGCTCTCCGCCAGTCGCCCCGTGAGTGGCACGACACTCTTCGCTCCACGCTTCGTGACCTTGGGTTCAGCCCGTCCTCCGCCGACCCGTCGCTGTTTGTTCGAGCGGGTTCTACTCCTTTCTTTATCCTTGTCTACATCGACGACTTGGTGTTTGCTACAGCAGACAGGGCAGCCCTGGCTCAGGTGAAGTCCGAACTGCAGAAGAGACACAAGTGCACTGACCTGGGTGAGCTGCAGCGTTACCTTGGCTTGCAGATCACCCGGGACAGAGCCGCTCGCACCATCACACTGACGCAGTCACACATGGTGCAGCAGGTCCTTCGGCGGTTCGACTTCCAGTTCTCCACCACTCAGCCCACTCCTCTTGCTGTTGACCACAGACTTACGGGCCCCTTTCCTGACGAGCCCTTTGAGTCCAGTGGACCCTACGCAGAGCTGGTGGGCTGCCTCATGTACCTGATGACTTGTACTCGACCGGACCTCGCCTTTCCCCTCAGCATCCTTTCTCGCTTTGTTGCGACTGGGAGACACAGCCCTGTCCACTGGACAGCTGCTGTGAGGGTGGCGAAGTACCTGGCGACTACATCAGGCATGGGGCTTGTGCTTGGAGGGACTCGGCAAGTGGCGTTGACTGGTCACTGTGACTCTTCCTACGCTGACGACGTGGAGACTCAGCGCTTGACTCAGGGTTACTGCTTCAGTCTGGGAGCTGGTGCTGTGTCGTGGAGGTCTACACGGTCGTCGTCTGTGGCTACTTCCAGTGCAGAGGCAGAGATCTACGCGGGTGCCATGGCGGCACAGGAGCTTCGCTGGTTGACCTTCTTGCTCGCCGACCTTGGTGAGCGGCCTCGCTCTGCACCGACCTTGTACGCTGACAACAAGGCCATGATCCTCCTGTGTCGAGAGCCTCGACTGGAGAGCAGAGTGAAGCATATTGACGTGAGGTACTTCCTCCTGCGAGAGCTGCAGCGACGCGGCCAGGCACGCCTGGACTTTGTGGCCTCAGAGGCCAACACTGCAGACGTCTTCACCAAGGCCTTGGTGCTTGGTGACCACCACAGGTTCTGTGTGCAGTTGGGGCTAGTTGAGGTAGGCCCTCGGTTGCTGTAGTCCTGTTGCTTGCTCTGCTTGTTGTGCCTTGTATTTATATCCTAGTGAACTCTTGAACTGGCCTTGTGGCCGCTTGCTTGCGCTCGGAATTTGTGTGGTGTCCTTGAGATCCACCCTGAGCTTGTCTTGGTTCTTGCTTTGACTGGTCTTGTGACCGTTTGTTCACCTTGCTTGCTTTGATGCCCCTCACTTAGCCTATGGGGGTGTGTCAAATGTTGAACATTGATATGATAGGCTGTAGTGAGTTGCACTCTAGGGGGTACAGTTTCTAGGGTTGCTTATTTGTACCCCATTCGTTTCTATTCCAACCATTCCGTTGCTAACCACTCTTGAGACTTATATCCGGGGGGTGACGGTAGTGGGGCACTCCTTACGGGGTACAGCACTTCTAGGGTTAGTACTTGTACCCCAACTCTTGCTAATCCAATCATTCCTGCATAGTGATTCTGACACATGTGACGATCTTGTAAAGGCCTTTCATGTTGTAAAAGAAGCCACGGGGGATCGAGGTTGGTTGGGTACATGTTGGGCAAGGAAAAGGTAGCCTCGGTGTTGACAATATTGGCCGAGACAGCAATTTTGAGAGTTGGGGTTGTACGAGATGCAGTACAAAACCAGTATGGAAATGGAAGATTCCTTACTCACACACTCCTCCAAAACAAAATCATAACACCAATCATAACACATCCCAAATAGCTGTTTCTGGTAACACATGTATCAGGTGGCAGGGCAACTGTAGAAACAACGGTCTCCTCAGATACGAGCGAGCGCATGCAGATGCTGTCAGATGTCAGTCAACCTGCGCGGGTAAGCCAGCCCAGGGCGCACACATCGGGGTGCCAGGTCCGCTCAGGAGGTCCCAACTCTCCAGCTTGGCTTGAGGCCATTATCCTCGTCAGGCTTGTGGATGAGGGTCTCATAATGTGCGTACGATAACATTTTTCGTTCTGAAACCCCTGCCCGACGGGCAAGTACCAACACGAATCTGATCCTAGGTTATGGGAGAAATCGAGACGGTTTGACAAGGGACGACTGGATTCGCTGGCGTTTCCACGTGGACACGAAAATTGTCCCGTGTCGCCTGTTAAGCTGATTCGTGGTTGAGAATTTCTGAGGTGTCATAACACTGATGATATTGTTTTTCACAACACTGGAAAATGTTTTAAAAGTTATTGTTCCAAGGTAGAAACTTAATATTCAGTTCACTTCCTATGTACAATGAGGTTCGCATGCGTACTATTTGTCGAAACGCTACACCTAGAACTTTCGAAGGTGAGGAGATGGAAGCAGAAATCATACCACTTCCAGATCTCGAGGCCATCCCTCGGCTACGTCGTTAACTATTGGCTGAGATGCAATGTAATCTGCCCGCCGACAACTTCTTTGATTGGTGAAGATAACGTTCTTGTTGCCCTTTTCAAGACCATGAGAACCTCCTCGACTCTTGTTCAGCTCGCTCTTGGTGTATTCGAGGCTCTTGAGTCGCCAATCCCAGCGACGCGTCACGTCACGAGAACCTGTCGTGAAGGCGCGTTTCCTCGTTCCCCCCTGGCTTCACAGTGGCGCCACCTGAACTGGGGGGGATGCACCTTCATACCACACCGCGTCCTGGACCACTCACAAAGGGTGGTCCGCCTGAATTCCCGCCCCTTCACTACCTTCCGCCCAACCCTTTCGTGTTCGCGCCCATCAGCCCCAATCGGAAGTGCGCGTTTTGGCCATGCACGCACCCCAATTCCCAGAAGGCTTCCCCCGCTATGAGCGGCCCTCCCGCGTCCTCCCCAAACTGCCGACTCCAGCCATAAGTGCTTGTTGAAGACGCGTTGGTTTGCCTTGGACTGCACTCCACCTCATCATAATTCTTTGGGGCTAAAATATTGTGGTGTGACGAGTGAGCAAGCATTAGGCATCAAAGCTGGTCGAACGCCCTTTGCTAGCTGTTGTGCGCAAACGAACGTGATAAGAGTCAATTATTCTTCGCAGCTATACCCTGATATAATGGAGTGCCTGGCGAGGGCTCCGTCTACGTTCACCGCCTTCTTTTTTCGCAGTCATGCGCCTGCGTCCTCTGACCCGTGTGCTTCCAAGTTGCATCTGCAGCAGCAAGGAGCGTCGCTCTGCCCCACAACTCTCACCAACGATAAGAACACCACTCCGTCTTCATCGAGTAAGGCACTCGTGCCCGTGGGTGGAACACTCGTGACCGTGGCTGTGTTGGAGGGCTTCGGGATTGGATTCCCATCTAACCTCCGCCCGTTTGATTCGCTCACTGCTCTCGTTGGTCGCGGGAAGAGCACCAGCAGCGGCATCGGCGAATCTCCCGCCGCCTCTGCCACCGCTGCAGCGACCGCCGCATCTGCTGCATCTTCCGTCTCTCTATCCGTCTCCGCTCCGGCGGCCCCTACAGCTACCGTCCATGCCCCTTCCTCGTCGCGCGCTGCTACCACCACAACAGGCGCTTTTGCCGGCCATCACGGTAGCAGCAGTCGGATTACCACGGGAACGGCGATTTCGTCGTCTCCTTTCGCCGGCTTGTCGCCGCCTTCCACTCGGGTGACGTCGTCGCTTCTGGTGTCGTTTCTTGTGAACTACTCGGTTCTCGTGTCCGACTGGTGGCAGTTCAAGCACACCGCCAGGGACCGCCTCCTCGCGTGCGTCGGTTCCCGGTGGCCCCTCGCTGCCGTCGTCGCGCACACCTCGGACCCCGTCAAGGTCGCTGCGCTCGCCGCTGCCGCTACGGCTGCGGCTGCTGCAGCTGCCGCTGCGATTGCCGCCGCATCCGCGGATGCGGAGCGGTTTCCGCAGCTGCAGTTTTTCCGCCAGCCGTTCCGAGGGCTGGGATGGGGAGGTGGCTCGTTGCAAGGCGGTAAAGAGGGATCCGAAACGGAAGGAGAGGATGGCGAAGCGAGCGACGGCGGGGATGCACCGGTTTCCCCGTCAGGGAGTGAGTCCGACGGAGAGCCGCGAGTGAACGAGCGCAAGTGGTTCGGTCTGTTGGGGGGACGGTCTGCGCGCGGCGATGTGGAGGCGGAGGACGGCGGGCGAGGGGAGTTGGCGTCGGTGATGCGCGACGACCTGGACCCCAGCATGGTGTGGGGGCAGCGGCGCATGGACCTGGACGCCGAGGACTCGCGCCGAGAGTTCCTGGGCAAGCCCGGCTTTAGCTTCTCCGCCGCGGGGCTGCTCTTCCCGTACCACCTGGGCGTCACGCACTTCCTCGAGCAGAACGGCTACATCACGGTACGCCATGTGCTGCGCCCGTCCGCTGACTTTCCTTGTCTGGGCAATGATTTTTATTATTATTATTATTATTAAAGCTTTTAAGTTTGAGCTCATCAATCGCCCCGTGCTATGCGCGCCGTCCGACTTTTAGCATGAGTGCGTTATGTTGCCCAGTACGGAAGTCGATTTGCGGCCCTTGTCGTGTCACTATGTTCGTGCAGGAGCACACGCCGCTGGCGGGGTCGTCGGCGGGAGCCCTGGTGTGTGCGACGATTGCATCGGGAGTGGATCCCCGCACGGCGCTGCGCCTCACAAAGCACCTCTCCGCGGACTGCCGCGCCAACGGCACGGCCTTCCGCCTCGGGGTCAGTGCGCCAACCTGCTCCAGCCTACTGCTCACTTCCCCTCTCTCCGCCCGCTGCTCCCGCTTGTTTTGCCTTTTCTACGGTTGCTTATTCGGTTCCCCTTTTGGTCCCCCCTCTCCGCGTCCTGTGAGCAGAAGCTGCTGCGCGCCGTGCTGGAGGAGATACTTCCGCCCAACGCGCACCTCTGCTGCAACGGCCGCATCCGAGGTACGCCCTCCCTCTCCCGCGTTGCGCGCTTGCCTACCCTTACCTCCCCTCACCGTGCTCTTTCCCTCATCCATCGTTGCATCCCTCCTTTCGTCTTATTGTCGCCAGATACTTGCCCACGTTGCTCCCGTCTTACTAACCCTTCGCCGTATCCGTGCCGCTGCCCGTGCCTGTGCGTGTGTCCGCGCGCAGTGGCGGTGACGCAGGTGTTCGGCAGTCCGCGCGGCGTGCTGGTGGACCAGTTCGACTCGCGCGAGGACCTCATCGACGCGCTCATCACCTCCTCCTTCGTGCCCGGGTCAGTGCTGCGCAAGGGGATAAGTGCAAGGGAAAGTAGTGGAGTGAAGGGGGGGAGGGGGAGGAAAGGGTGGGTTTGGGTGTTGGAAGAACGGTGTGCATGCCATGAGCTGACCTGGGGACGCGTCATGTATGCATGTCCAGTGCAGAATAACGAATCCTTATTCCGTCCTCACCCCGTCCCGTGCATGCTGTGTGTTGCGCGCTGCAGGTACTTGGAGCCCCGCCCCGCCACTCGCTTCCGCAACCGCCTCTGCATTGATGGCGGCCTCTCCCACTTCATGCCGCCCACCGCAAGTGACGAAACGGTGCGCCTCCTGCCATGCACATGCGCTAGATTGTGTTTCCTACTCTCCCTGCTCTTCATGCACCTTTCACACACGCTCTCTACCTCCTCCCCCTGTGCTCCTCTCAGTTACCCCCCGCCTGTTCCCCCCCTTTCTTTTCCTTCCCCCCACTGTTCCCCCTCCCACAGGTGCGCATCTGTGCCTTCCCAGCGTCAGCGCTGGGGCTGAGCGGCATTGGCATCTCACCGGACCTGAACCCGCGGGAGTCGTGGAGCATGCGGCAGCTCTTCTCCTGGGCGCTGGAGCCCGCCGAGGACGACTTCCTGGACGAGCTCTTTGACTGCGGCTACCAGGACGCTCAGTCGTGGGCGCACGGCTATGAGGCTGCCAAGAGCCTCGAGAGGGCCATGCCTCTGCAGCAGCTGGACGCTCCTGACCTGCTCTCACTCTCACTGCCGCTTTCTGGGTCCGCAGCAGGTGATGTGATGCAGGGAGGCATGCTGAATGCTGGCAATGGTGCAGCTGCAGCCTTGGAAGTGGCTGTGGGTGGCAAGAGGAGTTGAGTGCGATGGAATTTGTTTTCTGCTTTGAATGCTTGACCTGTTCCTGCCTCATTCCCACCCCCAGACTCCATTGACTGCTCTGTGCTATGTGCTTGGGGCATTGTGTGCCTGGTGCGACAACCCATTTGTACATACCTAGCAGTAGTTTCATTCCTCCGATAGGCAAGTGTTAGACCAAACGTGAAAATGAGGAGCTGTATCCAATTCAGGCTGACACGGACGTTAGTGAGATATGATTGTATCACGATCCGAGACAATGTACGGTAGTGAAAGTGTTTTTTTGGGATGGCCGGTGTGAGGTTTGGAAAAATGATTTGGGGGATTGAAAATGTCAACATGATACCGTTTGGATTGAAAGAATGGCTGCTTATCTTACGGTATACTGATTTCCTGGTGGACTGGGGAGCGCTAGTCATGGTGGTGGTTGATACAATCTGAACCGTCTTATAGCATCGTCTCAGGTTGATCGCACGGAGTGTAGCAGCGGAAGATTGCTTGGTAATGTCGGGTACGGACTCTGTCAGTAGAAGGAGATTTAGATCTCGACAGAAGTGAATAACACAATGCGGTACAAGGGTTTATATAGGAATACAGTGGAATACGAAAGGTCCTAGCTAGCCATGTACCCTGAGAAGGTACATTCCCCTTAGGGCTAATCTAGATGCACGATTGAAACCGTGCGGCTCGGTAACCGTACGCGGTCCGGTAACCGTTTGAAGTTTTCCCGCGCTTTGCACTTCGAATTCTTCCTGCTTGCAACTGTCTTCGATAACTGTCTTGTCGCTCGGTCTTCGTCCTCGCTGCAGTCATCTTCGCGTTAAGGATTTGTTACTCAGGAATGTTTATTCAACAGTTCCATATCGTAACACTCCCCTTCATTCCTGGAGGAGCGAAGTCTTGCCGCGCTTGGTTATACCGCAGATGTTTCCGCAGTGATGGTACTGCTGACGTGGCAGTTTCTTGGTGAAGAAATCGGCTGCCATGTCACCAGTGGGGCAGTAAGTCAAGATGACTTTGCCTTTGTCAACTTCATATTTGACGAAGAAGTAGCAGAGTGCGATGTGCTTGGTGCGGTTGACGAAGCCAGGTTTGTTCGCGATTTTAATCGCGCTCTGGTTGTCGCAGTGAAGTTTGAAGCTCGCGGATGTCGCAATTTTCGCCTCCTGGAGAAGCTCCTGAAGGTACCCTTCGCGAACTGCTGATGTGGCAGCAATGAACTCAGCTTCGGCAGAGGAGAGTGCCACCATTTCCAGCTTCTGGGAATTCCAGGAAATTGGGCCAGTAGGTTCGAGGCGAAAGAGGAAGCCGGTTCGGGACCGTCGATTCGCAGGGTCGACAGCATGATCTGCGTCCACGTAGCCAACGAGGCTGAAGGAGCGGGTCGTGAGGGTTGAATAGGTGAGGCCGATGTGAGGTGTGGAGATGAAGTACTGCAAGGCGCGCTGTAAATCCAGCATGTGCTCCCCTTCAGGCCGCTTGGCATACTGAGCGAGCTGACTCGAGATGTAGGACAAGTCAGGCCTGCACGTCACCGCAGCGAACAGGAGGCAGCCGAGCTGCTGCTGATACAGCTGATGTCCGGAGGGGTTGAGTGGGGTGGTGTTGGGGTGGTGTGGGGTGGCCGGGTTGCGGTAAGGAGTTGAAAGGTTGGCAGGTGGGATGTTGAACTTGGTCGAGAGAGTTTCAGCGTACTTGGAGGCGGAGAGATGAATGGCGTAGGTGGCGTAGGAGATGTTGAGGCCCAGGAACTGGGTCACTTGATCGGTGCTGGTGACTTCGACGCGGTTGCTGAGATTCTTCTCGAACTGGGCGAGGAGATCGTTGCTGGTGCTTGTGTAGAGAAGGTCGTCCACGTACGCCGTGAGGAGGATGTAATCGCCGCGATAGTGGAGGCGATACATGCCGGGGTCGTGAGGCAGCTGAATGAAGCCGATGTCGAGCAGGATTTGGTGGAGATACTGCTGCCAGAGTCGTGGTGCCTGCTTGATGCCGTAGAGAGATTTGCGGAGTTGACACACGCGATCGCCGCCGTCGCCGTAGGTGTGTGGTTGCTCGACGAAGATGAGCGCATCTACGGGTGCGTAGAGAAAGGCATTTTTCACGTCGATTTGGCGGAGAGGAAGATGTTTGGCGGCAGCGATGGCGAGGAGGATGCGGACAGAGGTGTGACGGCTGACAGGAGCGAAGGTCTGATCAAAGTCAACGCCGTGGCGCTGATCGAATCCGCGGACAACCCAGCGGGCCTTGAAGCGCTCGATGGTGCCGTCGGCAGCGGTTTTGACGCGGAACACCCATTTTCCGGAGAGGACGCGCCTCCCCTTCAGTGCGGCACGGTCGGCGAGAACCCATGTGTCACGGGCTTCGAGCGCGGCGACTTCGGCATCCATTGCGGCGCGCCATTCCTTTGCGTAAGGGCCGGTGAGAGCTTGGCGCGGGGTTTTGGGTTCAACCGCTTTGGGCGGAGGAGACACAGCCGTGTGAAGGCCAAGGATGTGGAGGCCAGAGAGACCGGGGCTGTGGCGCTGATCGCTGGTGACTTCGACGACGTCGTCCTCGGAGTTGTGACCGCTGGAGGGTGTCGGGCTGAGGAGGGAGTCGCGAGATGAGTCAAGGGGAGCGCTGTCCTCATCCTCGTCTTCATCGCTCCATGGGCGAGGGCCAGGATGAGGATCCGTGGGATCCTGGTCCGCAAGTGCTGCTGCGGCTTCATCTTCAGGAGTAGCGAAGCTGCGCGGCGGGCGCTCGTACTCCGCAATGTTGTTCTCGCCCCTGGTGCGGTCAGCGTAGCGGTCGTGCTGGAACATACGAATGGAGAGGTCTTCGTAGAAGATGACGTCGCGCGCCGCGACGATCTGTGAAGTATCGTGGTCGAGAATGGTCCAGGCGTGATGCTCGAAGCTGATGCCGATATGCACGCCCCAGCGTGCGCGACGTTCGAACTTCCCCGTGGTTGCCGCTGCGGGCCGATACTGCACCATGCAGCCCCAGACGCGGAGCATGGAGATATCGCCCTGTTTCCCTGTGAACTTGAGATGCGGGGAGAGGTTGTCGGAGTTGGCAGTGGTGCTGAGCAGGTTGTGCAGACGGACAGCGTGATGCATGGCATAGGGCCAGTACTTCGCGTCAACGACGCTCTGCTGCAGAAGTGCGCGAACCTTGGTCATGAGGGTGCGGTTGGTGCGTTCTGCGACGCCCTGCTGGGGATGCGCGTACGGGAGGGAAAGCTTGTGAATGATGCATTTCTCCCTCATGAGCGCCTGCATCTTGTCGCTTTTGAACTCTGCTGCGCAGTCAGTTTGCCAGAGCTTGAGGGTGCAGCCTGACAGTGTCTTCGCATTGGCGTGCCAGACCTTGAAGATTTCGAACGCCTTGCTCCTGTGGGAGACATTGGCGACCCAAACGAAGCGGGAGTGAGCGTCGATGAAGGTGAGGGTGTACTCTTCGCCGTTGAGGCCAGTCTGAGTGAGCACGAGGAAGTCGCTGTAAACTTTCTCAAGTTTTTTCGTAGCGGTTGGTTCCTGGCTCAAGGAGCTTGAAGGGCTGATGGGCGAGCGCGGCTTCAGGGCAGATGGTGCAGTCTGTGCGGCGGGAGGTGTTGACGGGAACAGGAGTGCCGTCTGGGCGGAGAAGTATTCCTGGAAGAAAAACTTGCGCGCGGATGCAGTTGTTGAGAACTTCCTGTGAGGGGTGACCAAGGCGTTTATGCCAGAGATCAGGTTGGGCGCGCAGAGCAGGTGAGCGTGCGTAAAAGGCGATAAGTTCAGTGATATCTTGCATAGATGGCTGTGGGATAGGCTGTGGTGAAATGGAGAGGCCGAGTGCGAGGATGAGTTCACGAGCGGTGAGGGCCGGGGTGACTGTGGTGATGGCTGTAAGTGGTGCTGTGAGGTCATCTGTGTCTGCTGCTTCTTCTGGAAGGTCTGGGCGTGGCACGTGGTGAGGAGGTAAGGTGTGTGTTGCTGTGGGACTGGGAAGAGGTGAGTCTGTGGGCCCAATGGGCGTGGATTCAGTGTGAAGCGGACTGCGGGGGTAAGTGCGGTAAGGCACTATGGTATCACGATCTGTGTGAGGTTGAGAATCTGGAGAAGAGCCCCAGGAGTTGCTGGTTGGTGAGGTTTTTGTTGGTGGAATGCCGAGGGGACGTGGAGACCCATAGGGTCCTCGAGCTGCTTCTGCCGCTTCTCGATCAGCACGAGCGATGAACTCTTCTATCGGCTCCTCTTCCTCCATGGTTGATGGTGCTGGGCCTCCCCATCCTGGTGCGCCAGTTCCGCTTCCCCATCCTCCTGCTGTTCCAGTTCCGACCCCCCATCCTCCAGCTGTTGCAGCTGCTGCTGCCTTTGCTTCTTCGTCTGCGCGGCGACGCCTTTCTTCTTCTTCATGTCGCTGGAGTTCCTCCGTGGTCATGGTGCGGTGGGACCAGGGGTGGTTGACGTGGTAGGTCTCCCAGGTAATTGGGAGAGGATTGTTATCATTGTCATGTGCGCCAGGTCCCGTGTAACGTGTGAGGAGGTCGAGGCGGTCATGGACTGTGGGATCATTTCGAGTTTTGCGCGGCTGGAAGACAGTGAGTGCTGCAGCGAGTTCTCCATCGCGCATGCCAGATAAGTGAGGAGTCTGCCATTCCGCTTCCTCAACTATGTCCGTGCCAGCAGGCTGAATGACTGGTCGAGCTTCCTCAGACGACTCTGAATTTTCAGGGGTCTGTTCGGAGAGTGTCCCAGTTTGAGCTGCTGCGGCTGTGAGGCGTCGTGCTGCTGCAGCGGAAGATTCTCCTTCGTCAGCTGGTGTGTTTCCTCTGTTGGGAGGAGGGCTGTTCGGTCTGTCTGAGGTGGAGGCTGTTGGGGTGTGGCAGTTGCGGCAAAGTCCGTCAGGTCCAGGTGCGTGCAGATTGATTTCCCGTGGATGAGCGTGATGCTTGATCCAGGGGCGGCCGTCTGGGTGTGAGGGTTTGCGATTCCACACGATGTCTTGGGGCTGTAGGTCGATGAGATCTCCTGAGTCAGCGCTGCAGTCTGGTATGTCGAAATCGAGAATGTAAACGCCGTCTTCGGAATGGGCTCTGCCGATGTAGCGCGGTTCGCTGTTTAGGTTGCTGTAATATTTCCAGTGCATGAGGATGTCACGTGTCTCAAGGTCAGTCGTCATGAGCACTCCACTTTGCACGAGTTGGTCGTAGGAGAGGAGATTGTATTGAAGGTCACGCACGATGAGAACGTCGTTGAGCGTGATGTGAATGTCGCTGTCGTGTGCTTTTAAAACGACGATGCCGCATGCTCGTGCGTGGAGTTGCTGATTGTTGGCCACCGTGACGATGGTAGGTTGTGGGATGGCGCTTGCGTTGGAGATGTAGCGCTTGGAGCCCACCATGTGCTGCCCGCAGCAGCTGTCGAGGTACCATGTGTTGTAGGAGTTCGCGCGATGTTGAGCCGAGAGGGCCAAGTTTGGTGTGTTTCGGAATGGAACGCGCCGATCTCCAGCAGCACGGTAGTTATCCACGGGGCGCGAGTCAATGTGGTGACCGAAATAGTAGCTAGTGATTGATGGCGAGTTAAGAAAATCTTCGTCATGCGGCGGCGACTCCAGCAGGGGTATCGGCAGGTCCCAATCTTGTTCGTACTCGTCGGAGACGAACTCCCCATGTTGTGTGAATGGGTTGTTGTAGCCAGTGAATTGAACTTCGCGTCCTGGCGGGGGAGGAGAGACATGTCGTAAATGTCCCCGATTGGTGCGGCGAGTGCGACGTGGGATGCGCATCGCCATGTTGCCGATGACATGGCGAACGGTGTTGTTGTTCTGTGGTGCACGCTGAATGTCGGATTGCGGCGGCTGGCGCGGGGCAGACCGATGGTCCGAAGACGGTCGGCTTGCCTGGCGCATGTGATCAGGGCCGTAAGTAGAGTTGTTGCGCGGCGCGGAATCGTGTCGTGGTCCGGATCGGCAGCGTTCGGTGGAGTGACCGAAGATTTTGCAGTTCTTGCAGTAATATTGCCGTGGCCGTGTGTCGCGATTCCTTCGTTGGTCGCGATTAGAGTAGAAGGCAATTTGTTTGCGCCGCGCCCCCTTTTCTTGGTTGAAATCCATGTCACGCTGCTCGTGCAGTAGAGTAGCGCAGAGGTGTGCTTCGGATATTATCCCTTGTTGGCGAAGAAGCGCCTTGCAGCTGATGGTGACGAACATGTCCTCGGAAATTGTGTTTCCGAGCTTAAGAAGTTGATCGCGGATGCTTCGGCAGCGGTTGATGTAGGAATTCGCTTTCTCACCCGGTGCCATTTTGCCCTGGAGCAGGCGACTGGATGATACGGAGTCTTTAGGCTGGTAAGTTTTATTGAGGTAGCTCCAGGCGGCCATGGCGGGGGCTTGATGAGTTTTGTAGGGGCGAATGCCGAGTTGCTCGGTTGGCGCCATGTTGCGGAGTAGGACGCTATACGCCATGAGTGACTCATTGTAGTACTGAGCCTTTGCGTCGTCGGTGTCGCTGGAAGGGCCAGCGTAGCTTCCGTCAAAGTAGCAGAAAATTTGCGCGTTTTGGAGTAGTAGCTCGAGCTCGAAACTCCAGGTGTAGAAATCTCGCCCGCTAAACACGGTGCTGGTTCGAATCTTGGAGATAGTCAGAAACTTGTTCTGAGCTGCGAGGACAGCTTCGTCACTTGGACGAGGAACTGTTGGAGCAGGAGAATTCGACCCGAGATCAAAGGTGGTTGGGCTCGGTTCCTTGGTTGGAGCGGCCGGTTGATCGGGTTTCGGAGCGGTTTCAGTGTTGTCATTCTTCAGTTGTTGAATTCCTGATTCCAGCGTAGAAATCCGCTGGATGAGTTGCTCCAGTAGCGCATTGCTGACGGTGGTAGTTCCCGCGGGGTTCGCGGTAGGGTTGGCGGGGGCTTCGGCAGTGTTGGCCGCTTGTCCGCCAGATCCTCCAGCCATGTTTCGGCGGGAGCGCGTACCGGACGCCACCTTGAATTTGATTTTGGATCAAAGGTGGTGGTGCGAAGAATCCTGAGTGGCTCTCATACCATGATACAATCTGAACCGTCTTATAGGATCGTCTCAGGTTGATCGCACGGAGTGTAGCAGCGGAAGATTGCTTGGTAATGTCGGGTACGGACTCTGTCAGTAGAAGGAGATTTAGATCTCGACAGAAGTGAATAACACAATGCGGTACAAGGGTTTATATAGGAATACAGTGGAATACGAAAGGTCTTAGCTAGCCATGTACTCTGAGGGGGTACATTCCCCTTATCTAGATGCACGATTGAAACCGTGCGGCTCGGTAACCGTACGCGGTCCGGTAACCGTTTGAAGTTTTCCCGCGCTTTGCACTTCGAATTCTTCCTGCTTGCAACTGTCTTCGATAACTGTCTTGTCACTCGGTCTTCGTCCTCGCTGCAGTCATCTTCGCGTTAAGGATTTGTTACTCAGGAATGTTTATTCAACCGTTCCATATCGTAACAGTGGTGTCAAAACATATACGGCATGGTTGTTGTCTAGGCTGTAGTGGGGTAGCCCATAGAGGGTACAACCCATTAGGGTCAATCATGCGCAAGGTTAGGTCCGACTGCAGAACCTACTACCATACCTACGATTAGGTTAGGTCTGCCCCGCTGCCCGCGCGCCCCGCGCGCCCTGCTGCCCTACGCGCCCCGCGCGCCCTGCTGCCCTGCACGCCCCGCGCGCCCTGCTACCCTGCACGCCCTTCGCGCCCTGTTGCCCTGCGCCCCGCGCGCCCTGCTGCCCGCGCGCCCTGCTGCCCGCGCGCCCCGCGCGCCCTGCTGCCTTGCGCGCCCCGCGCGCCCTGCTGCCCGCGCGCCCCGCGCGCCCTGCTGCCTTGCGCGCCCCGCGCGCCCTGCTGCCCTGCGCGCCCCGCGCGCCCTGCTGCCCTGCGCGCCCCGCGCGTCCTTCTGCCCTGCGAGCCCCGCGCGCCCTGCTGCCCTGCACACCCCGCGCGCCCTGCTGCACACGCGCCCTGCGCGCCCTGTCAAACATTATATGTTTAAATTGTGTAGGCTATAGTGGGTTTAGCCTTAGGGGGTACAACTTTGTTAGGGTTTCCTACTTGTATCCCCCTCCTACCTAGTTTCACCCATTTCTCGTTCACCTCTACTTTACAACATGGTATCCGACGCCTAGGTCAGGACCTAGGACCGAAGTTGGTTTGGGCCCACCGTTCCACCGCGCCGTCGAGCGCCCCTTCTCGCGCCGTCGAGCGCCCCTTCTTGCGCCGTCGAGCGCCCCTCCTAGCGCTGTCGAGCGCCCCTTCTAGCGCCGTCGAGCGCCCCTACTAGCGCCGTCGTGCGCCCTAGTGGCCGCCGCCCGTAGGCTGCCCATCGCCCGTAGGCTGCCCGTCGCCTGCCGTCGCCTGTAGGCCGCCCTTACGCTGCCCGTACGCAGCCCGTAGGCCGCGGCCGCCCGTAGGCCGCCAGTACGCCGCCTGTAGGCCGCTGCCGCCCGTAGGCAGCCTGTACGCCGCCCGTAGGCCGCTGCCGTCCGTAGGCAGCCCGTAGGCAGCCCGTAGGCAGCCCGTAGGCCGCCCGTAGGCCGCTCACGCGCAGGCCGTGACCCGCGCGCCGCGGCTACTTCACGCCGACGCCTGCAGCCCGCCGGAACCCGTGCGCGTCGCCCCCCCTGCCCCTTCGCGACGCCCTTACGGGACCCGCGCGTCGCCCCCGCCTCGTCGCGAAGCAGCTGCGGGACCCGCGCGTCGCCCCCGCCTCGTCGCGACGCAGCTACGGGACCCGCGCGTCGCCCCCGCCTCGTCGCGACGCAGCTGCAGGACCCGCGCGTCGCCCCCGCCTCGTCGCGACGCAGCTGCGGGACCCGCGCGTCGCCCCCGCCTCGTCGCGACGCAGCTGCGGGACCCGCACGCGTCGCCCCTGCCTCGTCGCGTCGCCCCCGCGCGCGACCCGCGCGTCGCCCCTGCTCACCGTGGCGCCCTGCCCTACCCCGCGCCCGCCCTTGGGACGGCCGCCCCTGGCCCCTAGAGCAGCCGCACCTACAGCAGCCGCCCCTGGCCTCTGGAGCAGCTGCACCTACAGCCGCCCCTGGACCCTGGAGCAGCCGCCCCTGCAGCAGCCGCCCCTGGCCACCTGGAGCAGCCACCACAGCAGGAGCCGCCCCTTGACCCTGGAGCAGCCGCCCGTGCAGCAGCCGCCCCTGGCCCCTGGAGCAACCGCCACTGCAAGAGCCGCCCCTGGCCCCTGGAGCAGCCGCCCCTGCAGCAGCCGTCCCTGGCCCTTGGACCAGCCGCCACTGCAAGAGCCGCCCCTGGCCACTGGAGCAGCCGCCCCTGCAGCAGCCGCCCCTGACCCCTGGAGCAGCTGCCGTCGCGGCCCGGCCCCTCCCTGCAGCAGCTGCCGCGGAGCTCCCTGCCGCGGCCCAGCCCCGCCCTGCAGTTGTAGCGGCCCCGCTGTCGCCACCGTCTTGCGCCTACCGCGCCGACCACTGGTGAGCATTACCCTGCCCGCACTGCTACCACTACTACTACTGCTACTGCCTCTACTGCTCCTACTGTTACTGCTGTTACTGCCGCTACTGCTGCTACTGCTGCTCCTGGCGTGGCCAGATGCAGCTCCAGGGCCGTGCGCGTGAGTCCCTCACGCCCCAGCAGCTTCGTGAGTGGTACGCTAGTTGGGGCTGTCGGGGTGGCCGTAGTGGTAGTCGCTCTCGAGTGGGTCGTTCGGGAGCTCCTGGTAGTGGACAGGTGCAGCTGTCGTGTCCTCTTTCGCCCCAGCAGCTTCGTGAGTGGTACGCTAGTTGGGGCTGTCGGGGTGGCCGTAGTGGTAGTCGCTCTGGAGTGGGTCGGTCGGGAGCTTCTGGTAGTGGACAGGTGCAGCTACCGTGTCCTCTTTCGCCCCAGCAGCTTCGTGAGTGGTACGCCAGTTGGGGCTGTCGGGGTGGCCGTAGTGGTAGTCGCTCTGGAGTGCGTCGTTCGGGAGCTTCTGGTAGTGGACAGGTGCAGCTGCCGTGTCCTGTGAGTGAGGCTGCCGCTCTAGGTGCTAGTGCGTCTACTACCCCAGGTGCTGGTGAGGCTGCTGCTCTAGGTGCTAGTGAGTCTGCCCCCCCTGGTACTGAGTCGACTGAGGCACTGCACACCTTCACACTGGACTCAGGTGCTTCTCGCTGTTTCTTTCGTGACCGCACTACCCTTGAGCCGCTTGCTCGGCCAGTTGCTGTCTCTCTCGCTGACCCCTCTGGGGGTCCGGTCATTGCGACCTCCTCCACTGTCCTTCCTTGTCCTGCGGTCCCGTCGGGCACACTGTCAGGTCTCCACCTCCCCTCGTTCTCTACGAACTTGGTGGCAGGTTGTGCGCTCCAGGACGGGGGTGTTCACCAGTTCACCCCTGCCTACGAGCGCGTGACACACTGCACGTGTGCTCGGACGGGCCGTCACCTGGCTACCTTCACTCGGCAGCCGGGGTCGGACCTGTACACACTGACCACTGAGTCCCCTCAGGTAGCTGCGTCTGCGTCTGCGTCAGGTCAGCTGTCGCCCCCCTGCTCGTGTCGCTCTCTGGCGCACGAGACCGTCCTCTGGCACCACCGACTTGGTCACCCGTCCGTGCAGCGCCTTCGTGCCATGCACAAACGGTACCTTGTCTCTGGTCTTCCCAGGGTTCTCCCTCCCCTCCCACCCTCGCCTGCTCCTCCCTGCCTTCCCTGTGTCGAGGGGCGGCAGCGCGCCGCTCCTCACTCCTCCTCGTTTCCCCCGACGACTGCTCCCTTGCAGACGCTCCACATGGACGTGTGGGGCCTAGCCCGCGTCCGTGGTCAGGGTCAGGAGAGGTACTTCCTGATAGTTGTTGACGACTACTCGCGCTACACCACGGTCTTCCCCTTGCGCACCAAGGGTGAGGTCCCTGATGTTTTGATCCCTTGGATCCGCGCTTCTCGTCTCCAGCTCAGCGAGCGTTTCCACTCGGACTTTCCTGTCCTGCGCTTGCACTCTGACAGAGGTGGTGAGTTCTCCTCCGACCTCTTGGCAGCCTACTGTGCGGAGCACGGCATTCGCCAGTCGTTCACGCTTCCGGCCTCTCCACAGCAGAATGGGGTTGCTGAGCGCCGCATTGGCTTGGTCATGGAGGTCGCTCGTACCTCCTTGATCCATGCGGCTGCCCCCCACTTTCTGTGGCCGTTTGCGGTCCGCTACGCTGCGCATCAGCTCAACCTCTGGCCCCGTGTCTCCGTTCCGGAGACTTCGCCGACACTGCGTTGGACGGGAGAGGTTGGCGATGCGTCACGCTTTCGGGTCTGGGGATCTCGAGCTTTTGTCCGCGATACGTCTGCGGACAAGCTCTCCTCCCGCGCTTTTCCTTGTGTCTTCCTTGGCTTTGTCCCGGACGCGTCTGGTTGGCAGTTTTACCACCCCACCTCGCGCAGTGTCCTGCCTTCTCAGGACGTCACGTTCGACGAGTCCGTCCCCTACTACCGCCTCTTCCCCTACCGCACTGCCCCGCTTCCCCCCCCGCCTCTCTTCCTCGCGCCAGGTGCTGCTGTGGTAGACCCCCTCCCCCCTCAGGGTGCCGCTCCCTCAGGTGTGTCCCAGGTAGACCCGGTTGAGCCTGTCGAGGTAGCTGTCGACTCTCGTCCTGCTGAGGGTGCTGAGCCTGAGCGTGCGGAGCCTGGGGGTGCGGAGCCTGGGGGTGCGGAGCCTGGGGGTGCGGAGTCTGGGGGTGCTGAGCCTGGGGGTGCGGAGCCTGCGGGTGCTGAGTCTGGGGGTGCTGAGTCTGGAGGTGCTGCGCCTGGGAGTGCTACACCTGGAGGAGCTCTCTCCTCACAGCAGCTGCGTGAGTGGTACTTACAGTACTGCAGCCTCAGGAGAGGTGCTTCTGGAGCTAGGAGTACTGCTGGAGCTGGGGCTAGTGCTTCCCCTCCTAGGCGGGAGCTACCCTCTCCCCAGCGGCTCCGAGAGTGGTACGCACGGCGCTGCAGTCTCCGGAGTGGCGCTCCTAGTGTCGCGGACCCTGGAGCTGGAGGTGCTGCTGCTGCTGGCGGTGCTGCTGGTGCTAGTGGAGGTGCTGCTGGTGCTGGAGCTGCTGGAGGTGCTGCTGCTGGCGGTGCTGTTGGCGCTGCTGGAGGTACTGCTGGTGCTGGAGCTGCTGGAGCTGCTGGAGGTGCTGCTGCTACTGGTGGTGCTGCTGGTGCTGCCGGAGTTGCTGGAGGTGCTGCTGGTGCTGTTGCTGTTGGAGCTGCTGGAGGTACTGCTACTCCTGGAGGTGCTGCTGGTGCTGCGGACCCTGGAGTTGGAGCTGCGGCTGGTGCTGCGGACCCGGGCGTTGGAGCTGCTGCTGGTGCTGCGGACCCTGGAGTTGGAGCTGCTGCTGGTGCTGCGGACCCTGGAGTTGGAGCTGATGCTGGTGCTGAGGACCCTGGAGTTGGTGCTGCTGCTGGTGCTGACGACCCTGGCGCTGGTGTCTCTGCTGGTTCTGGAGACGCTGCGCGGCCGCGGCCGTACTTCGTTCCGCTCCTTCAGCAGGTTCTTGGTCAGCCTCCTCCTCCTTGTCCTCCTCCCTCCTTAGAGTGTCCTCCGTCTGTCCAGTCGCAGTCACAGTTACCGTCTGCCTCCCCTCTCCCTGGTCCTTCTCCTTACACTGGTCCGACTGGAGGTCTTACGGAGCGTCGTGAGCCTGAGTCTCGTCCTGCGTCGCCTGAGTCTCGTCGAGCGTCGCCTGTTCGTGCTGCTCACACTGGTCGTCGTGTCCCGCGTCAGCGTCCTCCTGCTGTCCCAGGCACTCACCAGATGGCGCTTCGTCCTTCCACTGCTCCTCAGCGTGTCCCTCTCCCGTCTCCTCCTGCGTCCTCTCTTCCTGCTCTTGCTGACCCTGAGTCTGACTCCCTTCGTGCTACCAGTCCTACTGTCACGCGTCTCCTGGCTACTGTTGTCACTGACCCTTCCTTTGAGTCCACTGCTGCGTCTGCCCTAGTTGCTGAGCTTGTCGACTTTGCTGCCGCTTGTCGTCTAGACTACGCCGCTAGCCTAGTTGCTGAGTCTGAGTCTGTCTGTCCTCCGTCCGTCGAGGGTGAGTGTGCTCTTGGCACGGACGTCCTTGAGGACAGGCAGGAGGAGTTTGAGTGCTTTGCCGCTGCTTTA